TGATCCGCCCCGGTCCCGGCCCCGTCTCTCACCGGCGGCTCCCGCGGCCCCGCTCAGCCTCCGCTACCGACCCGGTAGAACCAGACCCTCGTCACAACTGCGCATGCGCACCCTGAGCCCTGACCGGTCCCTGCGCATGTGCAGACCCTTCCACGGAGATGAAAGGGCAGAGCCCGTCCCTAGGGACCACCGGGCCTGGGAGCCCCCCCAGAGACACAACTCCCGGCATGCCCCGCTCCCCGTCACCCCCCGCTCGCCTCCAACTCCCGGCATGCCCCGCTCCCCGTCACCCCCCGCTCGCCTCCAACTCCCAGCATGCCCCGCTCCCGTCCAGCTACACCGACTCCCGGCATGCCCCGCGCCCCAGGCAGTGCTCCTTGGCGCTGCTGGGCGAAAGGAGGGAGCAGGGAACTCGGGGCAGACCCTTTATTAGTCGAACACAAGGAAGGCCGCCCTGTACAGCATTGCAAGGGCAGAGCAGGGGCGCCCGGTCCCGGGGCTGGCGCAGAGCCGCTTGCAGGAACCAGGCGCTAGGGGCATCTGCCCGTTCCCAGGCAGGCCAGGCAGGCCGAAGAGATCCTGCAGAAGCCTCGCGTGCCCTTGCCAGTCTCGGTACAGGGCCAAGAAACGCATGCCCCACCGCGTGCCGCTGCCACCATTCCTGGGCCCGGGCCCACAGCCCCAGCAAGACACGAGGCAGCCTCTGGCTTCTAGCACTGTGCGTGGCAATGGGAGACCCCACTGAAACCAGCTCTCCGAGGAGACGGAAATCCTCTTGTCCCACTCTCTGGTCCTGATTTCCTCTGCATTGAAGTAATGGATGAGCCCGCGCTGGCGCGGCAGCCGTCTCCCCATGCCCCGGGCAAGGAGGCAGCATTGGGGGGAGGGGCTCGGAGGGGGGGATGGTGAAACACGTTAAGACCGCCTTGCCATGCTCCCCCTTGGAGCAGCTTCTGGGGCAAGTAGCTATCCTGCCCTGAGCACGAGACGGGAGTCAAGGAAGGAGCTCAGGGTCTCCTCCCAAGCCCACACCCGTGGAGGGATGAACTGCAATCCCCCACCTGCCTTCCGGACAGGCTGAGCATCTCCAGAAGAGCAGGCCCTGACCACCCACCCATGGCCAGCGCCCCAGAGAAGAGGGAGCTGCCAGACTCACGAACCTGGCCCGTGGGCTGGAATGCCTGCTGTGGAAGGTGAGGGCAGCTCCTATTCTGCACCAGCCCTAGTTCCCTGCCAGCACCAGACTGCTCCTGGCTAAACAGCCCCAGGGCACTGCCCCACGTTCAGGACTATCAGGGCACTGGGGAGGACGGGGGAAAAGAGTAGAGCTGGGGGTTGAGGGAGACGGGGCTGTTCCCTTCCATTTGATCCTTGGTCCCTGACAGTTTTTCAAGTAGCTGGCCCATGAGCCGGAACGTGGGGGGAGTAACTGCTCTGAGCAAATAAACAGAGTGCCTGCCCCAGCCAGTGCACGGGCCTCACCTCGCCCCTTCCAGGCCATAGGGAGAGTCCCTTACCACCTCCACTACTCCACATGCACCCACATCCATGTGGGGCCAGAGGGAGAATCTGACTCCCGCTCCACCCACCAACCAGAGGGAGGCACGAGGAGTGTGTACCCAGCGTGCGGACACTGCAGGCCACAGGCAGTCTCTGCCTTGCACGCACACTGGAGGCACTGGTGGGCAGTTTCCAAATAGCTGCCCGCCCGACAGCATGTGGTCCAGAGGGAAGTAGCATCAGGGCCCTGTGAGGCCAGCAGGGAGGGGCCATCCTGGGGGAGCAGAAGGGCAAGGCTGGAGGGAGGGAGGAGGCAGTGGGGGCAAGGCTGGCAGGCAGGGAGGCCAGCTCAGTAGTCCGTGCTCTCACTCTCACACCAGGCGGAGGGGGCATCAGTACCAAAGTACCTGTCTCCAAAGTTACCTAAACACAAAAGCAACACAGTAAGGCGATCGGCAGCAGCACCATACCCCATGATGCCAGCCCCTCTCCCCCGAGGAAGCCCCAGGAGAATGAAACCATTGCCTCACATCAAGCCCCCCAGGTCTGCAGCCCGGCCCGGCCCTGCCGGAGCACAGCTGTCTCCGGGCCGAGGAAGGGCACCATAGGGCCTGGTCTGAGCGGCCACAGGCAGTCGCCCAAGCCAGGCTGAGCTCCCCGCCCCCCTTACCGATGCCAGGGATGATGTGGAATTCCTCGTTGACCCTCTTGTCCACGGCTGTGGTGATGATGCGGACACGGGGGAAGGCGTAGGCCACGGAGTGAACCCCCATCTCCGCCATCAGCAGGGACAGCAGGAAGATCTTCTCTTCGTGGACATCGTGATCCTGCAGCACAGACAGTGCTGAGCAGAATGGGCCCAGAGCGAAGTGCATGGGCGGCAGGTGGAGCCCCCTTCCGGGAGGCTAGGGCCCAGCCCTGCCCCTTCTGCCCGCCGGAGAAGCCCCGGGCCGCCCCAAGCCCACTCCCCTGTCCTTCTCCCCCGGCTAGAGGAGCCCCAGGCCGCCAGGAGCCCTGAGCCCACCCCCTCCATCACAAGCCCCAGGCCAGCCCCAGCCACGCCGCACCTCCGCTCCCGAGACGCCCCGCTGGAAAAGCCGCGTGCAGGTTCCGAGGCAGCTGAGGAGGTGGTATCCGCTACTCCAGGAGATTACTGACGAACTGGGGGAGCTGAGTAGCACATACCACGTCCTCAACCACCTCAGCACCTGCCTGGCGCAGAATAAGCAAAAACTTTCCCCATGCAAACTGCCAAAACCTGCAACCTGGCAGCAGCTGCTAGGCCAGGGAGGCTTAGCCTATTATACTACCACCTATGGCGAAGTGCCCCATGCTCTCAGAGCAGTAGCCTCCCTGCTTCCATGCTGGAAACCCCAGGCAGCCCACCCCCATTCCCAGAGGGTAGGGCCAGCCCGGCAGGCTCACCAGCAGGACGCGCACGGCCATCATGGCTGCAGCCCCCGTGGACACGGTGCTGTCCATCAGGATGACATAATCTTCGCTGATCTCCTTGGGGAGCCGCAGATAGTGAAGCTGAGGACAGATGGGGGACAGGGTTTATGAAGGAGTCAAGTGCGACACCCTGCCCCCACCCCGCAGCCCCTTGTGGAATTAACAAGCACTCTGTGGACGCTGGGGGCAGAGAAGGGACGGACAGGGCAGCGCTCACCTCAGGCTCCCCTGTGTCGTGGTTGGTCTGGATCAGAATCTTGCCCAGTCGAATGTCTTTGCAGACAGCAGTGAGCGCCTGCTCCATGGTCTCCCCCGCCCGCAGGATGGACACACCTGTGATCTGGTGCAGAGGGAAGACAACAGCCACCTTAGATTGGACTGGGCATGCAGCTACCCCGAGGGGGCAGCGACCGCCTCCCGCCTCTCAGACACCCCGCCAGGGCAGCACATCCCAACAGCCCCCCAGCCCTCATACTGGGGCAAGGACCCCCAGCCACTCTTCCTATTCCCCAAAGCAGTCTGGTAAGCCTTGCATCCCCCTCCTGGAGCCCAAGGGGGTGTTGTCCTAGATGGGAGAATAGACATTTCTCTGGTCCCTATCAGCCCAGGACCTGAGAGCCTCGCCATCTTCTCCCAATCCTGCCTCACTGCACAGGACGGGGGAACTGACCTCACGGAAGCTAAGTGACTGACCGGGGGTCACACAGGCAGTCTGTGCAGAGCAGGGAATGGAACCAGCTCTCCCCAAGCCAGGGCTGTGGAATGGCCACCCTTCCTCCCAGAGTTCTGGGGGGACCTGGCCAGTCTCACCCGCTGCCTGTGGAACCGCTTCCCTTCATACACAGTCCCCTGAGGCGTCTCCACCGTCACTGGCTGCAGGAGAAGAGCAGGTTGTTAATGTGGGGGCAGACCCTGAGCCAGGCTGCAGCATGACGCAGCAACTTCGTCCAGACAGCATAAGAGCAGGTAGCAAAGGGCAGGGCCTGGGCCTTACATGGCAGGTTGGGGGCAGGGCCTGTACCGTGAGTGGCAGGCAGGAGGGGCGGGCCTGTAGCATGAGTGGCAGGCAGGAGGGGCGGGGCCTGTAGCATGAGTGGCAGGCAGGAGGGGCGGGGCCTGTAGCATGAGTGGCAGGCAGGAGGGGCAGGTCACCAGGAAAGGGGCAGGGCCTGTAGCAT